AGAAGGTAAAAACAGGCGGCACCCACAGCAACCTCCTTCCCTCCCTGCCACAGGGAAAATGGATTTCTGTTGCCAGAGTCCCACCTGGGATTTTGTAAACACCCAGCTAAGCTGGAAGGGACCCGAAGGGCTTTGTCGAGCGGCAGAGGTCACTGCTGAGCGGCTCCCCTCAGCAACGAGCCAGGGCAACTCACCGCCAGGGCCAACTTGTCCTTGTCGTAGTGGACCAGCTTCTTCTGCAACCAGCTCCTGGGCCTGCTGCAGGGGCTCCTTCAGCTGCTTGTTCTGGAGCTGCACGTCCGCCTTCTCCTTTTCCAAGTGATTCTCCCTGTTCTTCATCTCCTCTATCTGGTCCTGTTCCCGGGGAATGTGAGAGTCAGTTGCCGGGGGCTGCCCAGCTCCTCTGAGCTTCCCACACCCTTCAGACCCACTCCTGCCCCTGGCCCGGCGAGAAACACCTCCCCATGCTCAAGACCTTTGCTCGTGTAATGGTGGACAACACTAGCAGCACCCTCACCCCCACTGGGAGCCAGCCTGATATGGGTGAAATCCTCGTAGGTCCCTTGGGGGCAGGCTGTACCTTCAGCAAATTGATGAGTGCCAGGTTTTTGAGGGTGATGTCGTTGTAGTAGCTCTTTATGTCACTGAAGGCCTTCTCATGGTTCTTCATCAGCTCGTTGATATGGTTGTTCTTCCTCTCCTCCACCTCGTGGATCTCAGTCTTCCGCCGCAGGTCGAGCTCATCCCGTAGCGCTTGCATCTTCTTGGTGTACTTGGCCTCGATCTCTGGGGAAGAGGAAATAATAATATTCAGTATTGTAATAATGGAAAGAATAACTTGACGAGGCACAGGGGAGGTATGGACCTCCCAGAGACCCTGTGTTAAGGCATCCCAGCTCCTGCAGCCAGTGTGATTCGAGGACAAGAGGCCCAGTAGCGGCATCACTGCGGCCGCCACCAGTGCACAGAGCAGCTACGCCGAGACCGCGGCTAGAGCAGAGGCCCAGAAATAGCACCCTTGGGAAAGAGGGCATGGAAATGCTCCGAGTCAGCCCGTGAGAACCCAGAATGTCCCCCGAGGGGGATGCTGGAGCAAGGACTCTGCGAGGGCTCCTCCAGGCAACCCACCCCACAGCCTGCACAGCCTTCGGCAGTATGGCCTTGCACCCCTCTGCTCACCCCACAGCCTGGCCTCACCCTGTGATGCTGGGGATCTTGGCATTCCCAGAGCACGGGGAAGCAAGTACTAGTGGGAAAACTGGCCAGAACTGGGGGTAAACTGGCCAGAATTGGGGGACAGCAGTCTCCATTCCGCTCCAGGCTCTGCCAGGGAGCCTTCCCTGACACGCAGACAAAGGGAACCCAGCTGCACATCCTGACCTTTCACTTGTCTCTCGAAGTCATTGTGCAGCCGGGTGATCTCCTCCTCTTGTTTCTGGTGGGGAGAAGGGACATGTTATGAGGCGGACAACCAAATCCCGAGTCGGCCCCATCCCGAGGTATTCCCTCCTGCTCCTTGGGAAGGGCTCCCACCGTGGCACCAGTCCCACACTGCCCATGTGAACTGCAGCTTGGAGATCCTCCAGCTGCTCCCACAGGTCCCTGCCACGGGAGGAGCTCCCCCCTTTCTTCCTGGAATTTCTAGTGCATCAGGTACTGGTGCCTGTGGGAAATCCCATCCTTCCCCATGCAGAGAGCCGAGTGGGTGAGCTCCTACTCATACGTCAGGGCTGGGAGGGCTCAGCCAGCAGCCCCACCACCTCCCTTGGCAGTGGAGGCACCTCACAACGTAGCTCCAGCCCGGCCCGGGACCTACCAGGCACATGTTTTTCACCACCACCTCGTTGGCCAGCTCCTGCTCCTTCAGCTCCACTTTCAAGGAGCGCATGTCTTTCCGCAGCTCCATCTCCTGGGCCCAGTGGTTGTTCTGGGCCCGCTTCATGGAGATGGTGCCCTCCGCCTTCAGCTCGGTGAGGTTTTCCTGGTGTTCGTACAACAAGTGCTTCACCTTCTGCTTATAAACCTAAAGACAAACCACA